GATTCAGAGAAGTGAAGTTTGTGAACTTTCTCCCTCCCAACTCAGAGCTCCCTTCCCTAAGAGTTCTGGTTCTGGAAGGGAGCTTTCAAGGCCAGCACAAGCTGGGAAGTCCCATACCTGAATTATGGGCCACAGATCATTCAGAAGAAAATCACACAAGAACCATTTTAAGGTGGCACCTAATTCACAAGGGGGTGAGAGAGGGCAGGTAATTTTGAGTAGAAAGTGTTGAGTCACGTCAACAACAATCCCAGCTAATATTTATTGAGCATTCAACACGAGCCAGTCAAGAGTTAATGGGCGTGACTCATCTCACTTCTACCTCACAACAGCCCTCTGAGGTAGGCACTGCCATTATCTTCAATTTCCTGATGGAGAATTGGAGGCCCTGAGGTTTAAGTGACTCAGTCAAAGTACACAACCATTGAGGGTGCAAACTCAGGGTTTGGGCTTTTCATTTCGCCAAACCTCTTTTCCTTGTCTTAATTCAGAAATGTCACTAAACAGAATGAGAAGGAAAAGAGAGAAACTCTTTGGCAACTTTTGAAGGCTTGTCCAATTCCCTTGGCTTGACTGCATGGGGCTAAGACCCAGAGGGATTTTTATCATAAGGTGCCCACCAGAGCTCCCCAACTTGGTGGAATAATTGCATGTTGTAAGAGCCTGCAGCCACTTCTCAAGTTTCCTTTTTATACAATCAGCTTGGGAGGGATTTGGATGTGTAGGCACAATGGGCTAATTTTTCTCTCTCTTGGGCTGGCAGCAAGAGGTGTGACTATTGGTTCCACCCTAGCATACTTGCTGGCACAACAGGCATCAGGCCTCTTTGAGCCAACAAAGAGATCTTGATGAGCTTGTTTGGTGGATGAGCCTGGGCGAGCAGAACAGACTTTGGGCTTAAAAAGCTTGTGAGTAGGAAGTTAAATGAACTCTGACAGCGTGCCAGGCTATGAAGGAGGCCTATGAAAGAGGTGTTTTACAAAATGGTACCCTATGACAACAGATGATTTTCCCTGCTCAGGGGAGTACTTAGGCTTAGTATTACTACGATCTGGGTTCACCATAGACTCATGTTTAATAACAATGCCTGTTCCGCTTTCCTGCAAGGGCTATAACTCCTGTGTTTTGCAGAATGCCTCATGTATGGCAGGGCACAATAAACAGCCAATAGTGATATTTACTATGATAACGATCGTCCGATGCCTTTCATCTAAGGCTGTCATAGTGCTCTGCAAACATTAATTAGTTAGGTGTCAAGGTGGCTCTAGGTTTTTATAATACATTTTCCCATTTTACAGAATTTTAAATTGAGACCCAGCCACACTTAAGTGGCTTGTCCAAAGTCATCCCGCGTGTTTAAATTAACGATAATGATGGTGCTTTGTGTTTCCCTGGCAGATGTTTTCCATGGTGTTGCGGCACATTGCAAAGATAATTTCAGTGCCTTAGAGAAGGGATGGGGTAGCAAACATTATTGGCTGTAGGCTCAGTTGGATAAACTGAGGCAGAAAGGGCAAATAACTCCAGGGGATCTGAGTGATGATGCGAGTCCACTCTCAGAGTGTAGCATCCGTGCCTTAACCGGAAGGCACGAAGGTTTCATACTTACAGGAAAGATAGGTATACTTTTGCAAGCAGAAACAAGCTGCAGGGTGCCACTGTCTTAACATCCAGGAATGGGTTTGTTCATTGTCCCTTCAAGAGACAAGAGGCGTGGGATGAACTCTTCCAAGAAAGAAGTGAACGAATGGGGTGATAGTGGTGGGCTGCCAGCTCATCTCTTTGAAAAACATATTTATGAACTCAGATTCCCTCTAGACGCTTGAACCCTGAAGGACTTGAGTCCGTGCTTCGGCCCTGTTGACAGGTCTGGGTCCGGGGTGGTTTGGTGAGTAGGCACAGACCCATCACTGTTCTAGGTTCCAAGTCTCTGCGAAGAGGTCCAGGGACACCCACTCTCTTAACGCCTTACTATTTTCTGCTCTCAATCCCCGTTGTGGAGGAGCACTCTGTGAATCTTGAATGGTGCAACCCCCTGGCAACTGCGTATGCACTTTCCTTAGCAACGGGGAGAAAGAGGAAAACCTGAACAGAGGTAGGTAAAGCTTACAGGGGCCCCACCTCCTAGGCAGCATTTCCTTAGTGAATGATGACCCTCTCCTGAAAGGCAAGTCAGACTTTTATAGGCTGGGGGAGAGAAGAGGTTTCCAAGTGTTAGGAATTCAAGGGCGATTTGCCAACCCTGAGACAGATATCTTTTCTCTTAACAAGGTAGGTTTGAATAAGGTTTGTTCTCCGCCCTACTCTACCTTTGCAGGCCTGTGGGTTCTGACTGACTGAGGAGACTTACAGAGGAGTGAGCGCCCATCCCTTTCCTGGAATGTGTTCACCTACAGAAGCACAACAGCAATAATAATAAAAAAAATCAGCGAAGAAGCCACGCCAACTTCCCGCTCTTGTTTTTGAATCTTTACACACAACCCTACCACATGGGTGGCTTAAAGGTGCAGTGAACTTCAAGAGACTGACCTCTCAGAAACAAACTTCAGAAAACAGCTGTGAATGCATACTGCAAGCTTCCTTCGTGTGAGGAGGGAGCCCAGTGCTAAATGCCCCCAACTCAAGCAGTCTTGGGACCCTGCAGCGAGCGTTAAAGCTTGCTTTAGGCCAGACTTCAGAGTATACATCTTAGATGGCCTAAATATACCAACAATCTAAGCCATTGCTCAGAACGTTTTGTGTGTTCTCTTTGCTTGGTAGAGAACATCAGCAGTGTGTCTGTACACATCTATTTGATTATATATCCTAACCTTTGCCATCAATCAGTCCGCACACATAGACACTCTCCTCCTGCGTGAGTCTAAGCATCAAGTATCTTGACAGCTTCGAACAGATTATGAGTGATCGTCCTCGTAACGGCACTTTATGGTAAGGGATGGGAAAACAGATTTAGGTAAAATTCAAGCAACACCTGACACCTGCAAACTTCTCCGAAATCTCAAAACCAACCTGCAGTTGAATTTATTTTCTTTATTCCTCACCCCAGAGCAGTTCCCATGTACTGGTCTGGCCCCTTAGCAGCAGAAGTGAAAGACCAGAAGACGATTATCTACAAGTACTTTTATCGTTCGACTACCTCAGGACGAGAACTAAAAGAGAATCTAGCAAGCATCAGAAGTTCTGTTTTAGACCAATTGTCAGATGGATCAGATAGGCTCAGAATTCCCATTGTGTCTCAGTTAAGTGATCACAGCTCTCCCAGCCAATTCTGGGGAATCATCTCCAGCACTCTGATGGAAGTCTTTCTACATGAAGGAAGCCTGCGCCCTAGCTCTCAGCATACACATACCCAACCTCCAAACGCACATGATATTAGCAAGCAAGTTTTCTCTTACCCCATCCATGTGGATCCTGACACTGGGCACCAGCCGGAAAGGGCTGGCCTGTAGACTTCTGGAACTGGTCTTGGTTCGCCTGTTGTCCTGCAAGGTCAGTATGCGAGGCCTGCGAAAGGAGCCCCCTTTCCAGTTCTGCCCGGAGCGCACACCATCCAGCAGGCGCACCAGCAACAGGTTGGCTGGCAGAGCCTCGATACTGCAGAACACCAGGGTCCGGCATTCCGGGCACCTCAGTTCCTTGTGGGCCTTGAAAATCCTCTGTAGACATGGTTTGCAGAAGGTGTGCTGGCAGGGGAGGACTTTGGCTGTGACATCGAGCTTTTCAAAGCACACAGGGCACTCCAGAAGATCAAGTAGCGTCAAATCATCCATTTTATTTTAAAACTCCCGTTGGACCTGGAGAAGTAGGGTTCTCATTGTAGGGGCAGCCGAGGCGAGGGGGCAGAGCCAGTCTTTTGGGAGCATCAGAATTCCCTGCCTGTTTGAAGGAAGGAGGAAAAAAAAATGTGACTGCCCCAGAGGTGTGTCCCACCTACATGGAGGCAGTGTCTTGAGAGGCAGCCGCAAGTACTTTGTTCCGGGAGCTTCAAATGACTCATTCTGATTCAGTCTTGCAGGTTAGAAGACTTGTGCCTGCTGCCGGGATCAGAGGGAGTTCTGCGCAGTGACTGAGGGCTCATTGCCTCTGAGTGGGGAGCCCCCGCAAGGAAAGGAAACTGACCAACTCAGGCTGGGAGCCACTTCTCTACTGAAAGGACAGGAGAGGAGCTTTCTCTTGCCTGGAGCACAGTCGACTAGCATTAACTCAGACCTAGGCCCTGATGATACACTTTCTGGGAGGATATCCACCTACCTCCCCCTTCTCCCCCCTCCCCCAGATGGGCTTGTCTTCTCTCTGCAGCCCAAGCGGAAGAGCTTAGGAAAGTGTTTTTCGACTCCCATGCAGATGTAGATTTCTTCCCCTCCAGTAGATCTTCCTCTCCTATTTTGTTCTGGCAATATACAAGAAAAATCGCTGCTCCCCAATATTGTTTTGCCTTAACTCTGTCGCCTCTCCCTTCTCTCCTCTCCTCTTCTCTCCTCCGCCCCAGATTAGTGCAGAGCCAGAGACATTCTTCCTCCTACCAGGTGAGGTCCTGCGGCCTGTTTAGTTGCTCTGACAATTGTACTGGCTGGCTTTCAGCTTCAGCAGAAAGGAATTCAGGCTTGTGGTCACAGCCTACAGAAACTCAGAGGAAGCAGTATGAACAGGCAGTGTGTGTGTGTGTGTGTGTGTGTGTGTGGTCCGAAAACAATCCTGACTTTTACAAACAGTTTCATTTCAGATGTCCGAAAACCAAGTTTCCGGTTTTGAGAGGTCTCCAGGGTACGAGTCAGCCACGCCCAGGCTCCGGTGACCGGGGACACCGCGGGTGGGCTTGGTTGGAAGGCCGGTGGCCCACAGCCACTAGCAGAGCAGAAGTGAGGTGCGCTGAACAGAGATGGCGCCTCAGGGTGGCGGGGAAGGGTGGGGGTTGGGGTGGAAGTCTCTTCTCCAAAGTTGCCGGCGCGCTGAAGTACGTGGGACCACTAACCTCGTGCCTATAATTTCAGTGGCAATCGGCTACCCTCTTTCTGGGCTCAGCCGGGGCTGCTCCTTCTCACTGGCCAGCCTCCTTTCCTCCCAGAGGCTGTGCAGTCGAGCTTTGAAAACTTCCATAAAGTCCTTCCAGTTTCAAGGGATCACCTTACCCAGCATTGTTAACACTGTCACTGCCAGCAGCTAGCTGCCTGCCAGCCCACACGCTGGGGCTGACCCATCCTTGATACCAAGCACTGAATACTTTGTGGACCTGCTTTCCCCACTTCCTCCCCCATTCAAGCAGCTTAAAGTTGCTTAATTAGAAACATGCCAAGTGCCCCGTGCTTATTTTTAAACTTTTACGAGGATTTCCTGAGAAGGTCAAACATATTAATGATAGCTGTGGTTCAAAGATAAGTCAGCCTCTTATAAAATACTGGTCTTAAAAGTGATAATCACTCCTTGCATGTTGAGATGAGAGAGGCTTCAGTAATCTTTGGTGCAGTTTCTTCCAATTTAAAAAAGAAGTGGGGTGTGCATGTGCATACTTTGAAAATCAGAGCACAGGAAGGTCTTTTAAAAAGGCAAAAGTAGCTGGGTGGGTGGTGGTGGTGCACACCTGTAATCCCAGCACTCAGGAGGCAGAGGCTGCCAGATCTCAGTTCGAGGTCAGCCTGGTCTACAGAGCTAGTTCCAGGACACCTAGGGCTATTACACTGAGAAAGTCTGTCTTGGGGGTGGGGGTGGGATAATGATCCCAGATCTCCTCTATTTCCTGTAGTCATTCCACACTCTTTAAATGATGCTAAAAATGTATGTATAAAAATACATATTCCACTTTTGATTTATCAATAATGTGTTCATGTGAAGTTGCAAATCAGTCCAACTGAGCAAGTAGGTGATGGCATCCCATCACAGCAGGTGGCCCCCTGTGCGTGTCAGCTCCTATTCCAAACACTTCACCTGTGTTTGCCTGCTTGACCCTTTAGCCAACTTGAGGACACCCCTACAGTTTGCCTTAACCACCCAGATGAAGGAGACAGGCAGGAAAGGTGGTCATGTGACCACTGTCACCAGAGGGAAGGCAGGTCAGTGTTCTTAACTATAGCGCCATGAAGTGAGCAGGCTTTAAGAGAAGAGAGGATTTGAAGACACCCAACCTCATTGGGGATGACAGCTGCAAGAAGTCAGGAGATAATGACCCAGATTGACCAATCAGTATGCCTGCAAATGAGGCAGCTGTGCCCAGAAAGATCAAGAGATTCTCTCAAGTGGCCTGGTGAGTGAGGGTAAAGCTGCAACTAGAAACTAGATCTTCTTCTTCCTTCCCTCCTCCTCCACCTCCTCCTCCACTTCCTCCTCCTCCTGGTTTCTTAGGGCTGGGTGTGCGCTACACACCAGTAACCCCAGTAGTGGGAAAGCAGAGGCAGGAGGATCATGATTTTGAGGTCGTCCTGGGCTATATTGTGAGAATCTGCCCCCCACTCCCAAATACAAATCAATTTCACTTTCTTTTTTCTTTCTTTTTGTTCCCTAACCTCTTTTTATCTATCTATTGAATCTTCTTATGCTTAAGCACAGGGATAACAATTCTTTGGTGGGGGGGGGCAAGGGATTGAACCGAGGGACTCGTACTTGCTAGCCAGGATTTTACCACCATTCTAAATACCCTGCCTGACAGTAATTCTTTATCACAGGAAATCACTTAGATATGACTCATTGGGAAATCTTAAGAGGGGATCAAGAAGCCTTCGGTCGATTGTCTTTCTTGTGTTCCTTCCACATCAGTTCATGGGAAAAAAATCAAACATGCATGAAGCTGAGAATGAAGGAGATGTCTGAGAGGAGCAAGTGTGGTCTTCTCTTCTGGTCTCAGACTCTAATTCCCACATGTGCCCACTGCAGAGAATACTTTCCAAATCCCCACTCTGAGTTTCAACAGAATCCCACCCCATTCTGCCCACGAGGGCAGCTCTCTTCAGATTCTTCAGTCTTATTTCCGCTCAGCTCCTCTGTGCCCTGCCCTGTAGACCCCTTGGTGTCTAGAAAGTGTACTCCAACACTAGCTTTTGTAGCAGGGTTTTGCACTGTGCCCTCTCTCTAGATTCTTAAACACAGTCTATGTTTTTATGTCACACCCTGACATACCCTCACCTGCACCTACCTACATGCACACGTGAGCTTGTACAAGAAACACATTTATGTAAGCGTGGAACATGTAAAACAATAATAGAAATGCTAGAGATAGTTTGATGTATGCCAGATACCAGTGAGAAAACTTTAAGCAAATTGTCTCATTGGGTCTTTCTTATATCTTAAACCTGAGTTTTGATGTTACAAAGTCCTGTACACACCCTGAGTCTATTCATGTATCTTTACTACGTAAGTCCACACACTTTTTCATACAAAGTCCACCATGTATTCATCAGTAGATTTCAGAGGCATCCCAAGAAAACAAGAATAAAGGAAACTGGGGTGCTTTACCTCGCACCTTCTTCAATGTACCCCATTTCACAGCCCCTCCCTATTTCCACACAGTCAGGGCTCTCAAAATTCTCTGGAGTCCTCCATTGCTGAGAGAATTCAATCATATCCGCTGGGTCCTAAGAAGGCAGGAAAGCCCGGTGAGTCAGCCTTTCCTAGTTTGGCATTTGGCAGTTGGAAATTCAAAACCACAGAGTGAGGATGGTAGATTTTTGGGCACTGGAGCGGGACAGAAAAAGTTTACACTGACTGGGTGTGGGGTGGGGGTAGGGGTAGGGTAAGGGTAGGCTGGAGATAGGGGAGTGGGGGCCCTCAAATCACACCTGTAGGTGGTCCCTAACACCACCCACAGAGACTGAAGTCTCAAGAAGACCTTTTCTTTTGAAGTGTTGGAAGACAGGGATGGATTTAGATAGGGATTTTATTCTGGCTTTCCCAAGCACTGCCTTGGCATCAAATCAGACAAATAGCTAGCTCCTAAAAAACAAACAAAAAGGTGAGCTCTGCATCCTTCCCAGATTCCGGCCCCCTGCACCACGCTCGCTCCAGCAACACCCCTTCCACGGCCGGTCCAGGCTTTGCGCTTGTTTACTATCTGGATGGTGCTTAGGAGCTGGTGCTGCTTGTGTTTACACGTCTGTTCATGCTAAAAGTAGGCAAATCTGATCGTTTGGTTCCTCTGTTCAACATCCTTCCTACTGGCCTTAGGCTGAAATCCAAGTCTTTCTTCTGGCCGGTAAGACCGTGTATGATCTGGCTTATCTGCCTGAGCTTGTGCGAACATATCCCTTCTGTATTTCAGAGGTACTGCCGCTCTCCCTTAACCTTCTCTCTCTCTCTCTCTCTCTCTCTCTCTCTCTCTCTCTCTCTCTCTCTCTCTC